CAGCCATTGTATTCTCCTCGGTCATATCAGGATTCGTCATATCATATTTACAGTGACTCGGTCTATGCACTTATTCTTTGTCTGGCTTTGGAAATCAGGGCTGCTTCTCCAGAAAAGGAGTGTGACAAATTTATCTAACAAACACTAAAACGCCTCACTAGCCAGAGGAGTTCAACAAACGTTGATGTCATTACAGATTAACTGGATTTAGACACCATCATCTCTCCAATTCAACATATAATGTGGTGTTTAATTAGTTTTGGGGAAAGAGTGTGGATTCATTTGGTCATGTTTGGCAATTTAGAGCCTCTGAAATGATAATGATAAGCTTTTGAGTAGTATCTTAGCTGTACCAGTTTAAGAAATGACAAACTGTACTGTAAGTAACAAACAATGGATTTTAGGGATTCTTTGGGTTTGATCAAAACAAAATTCTGATTAAGAAATATGACTAGTTAAAAAAAAAAATACTTTTCAAATCATATTGAGTCATGCAAAGACTGGAATAATTGTCTATTTACTTTACAAAGTAGCTTAAATTGAATAGATGAAGGACATCTGGGAACAGCAGGTCGGGTTAAACAAATGAACGTAATAAAAACCATTCCACTTTAGATCAGGCTGTGGGTTTAGCTTAGACTTAGACTCAACTTTATTTATCCCTTGGGATTACTCCTTCAGGGAACAGTTTCTGATTGAATGTGAATCTTTATCCCAATTGAAATTCTTTAGAATTTTCTGGTATATTTTTTTTTCACACTTCTTTGCGTCTCTTTAACTCTAAACAGCTTCATGTCAACTCTGAGTAGCTGATCGGTTCCTCTAAAGCAGCATCTCCTTTAGCATGATGTTGCCACAATTGTTGTGTGTTCTTAGGATGTGGAGTCAAAATACAAAACGATTTAAATGTACACCTTGATGTTCATATTAGGTCTCACCTGACCAGAGATCATACTTCCCCATATTACAGTAACTTGCTTGTAGCACACTGCAGGATTGTTTTTGGCCTCCATTTAACATTTTCTCGCTTTATTTTTTCCAGTTATATGGGGACTAATCATCTAATCATTTAATCATTGCCCTGTTGAGATTTTTCCCCACCTAAGTCATGATCATAGCAGCTTCTGGAGACCTACCATGTGATTATTGCTTGTTTACAGTATCTTATTTTAGCTATTTTGTTTTGTGGATAAAATCCAATGACTTTTATAGTCATACCCTTTAAAAAAAATAAAAAGAAAGAAACTCCAAAGGGGCAAAGTACTTTTACAGGCAAGTGTAGTTCCACTTAGTAATTACGTCTAAGTTAATGGTTTAAAAAAGAAATTTAAATAAACGAGAAAACTACAATCCACGAGACAGTCTACAACTCACTGAACAATACCCTCATCTAATCAAGTTAGTGAGACAGAAGCATTTTACTCCGTCAGTGTGATGAAGAAGAAAATGTTTCTTTCGGACTCCAAAGTGCTTCCATCCCATGTAGCTGCAGTTTTAAATCTAAGCTGTGAATGCCGCCTTATTAAAGCACTGAAGAGCTAAAAACAGGCGCTGCTTAATTAGACCACTGAATTAATAGGATTTTAGACCATCTTTCTGCTCTTTGTTAGGCTGCTCAAATTGAAATTACTAATTCTTTAGAAGCAGGTGAGTAATTAGCTTCAGACAGAAAGAATCCTCACAAACTTAACAGAATGAAGGAAGAGAGAAGATGATGGATTGTGTTCATCTCTTTGTCTGTGAGTCTATGTATGGCAGTAGGGGTTAGACAAAAGTAGAGAAAGGACCTTTAATCGCTTCACACTGTCCTGTGAGGAAGGCTAAGTGTGATAGCACCACCATGTTGGGAGGGCCAGAAGATTTTGGGAACATGTAGTTTGGGTGCTGCTCAGCGCAAGGATGGGGCATGCTTCTGGGCTCAATTTTCTCACAATTTTCTACCTCTTCTAGACTCTAAAAAATTAAAAAAAAAACTCAGTTTAAACTACTGGTGATTAGATAGTCTGCTGCAATGTTTGCAGAGAAATTAAAGATTTATATAAATGTATGAAGTTTTTTTTTTTTTTTTTACATAATGGTGAGACGTATACCTTTATTTCAAAGTCATTAATATCCCTTATGGAAATATTTTATAGTGTTAAAATCAGACCACTTTCTGCATTTAAGTGTATATTCATTACAAAATTATTGCTTTTCTTATTGTTTCCTGTACACAGAAAATCATTCTGAAATCTGATAGTGAGGCTTGCACCCTAACATAGGTTTTATTACAGTCCTAACAATTCTTCCCCCTACATTCATCTTGGGCAGGGCAATTTGTTTAGCTAAGTTAGCAACCAGTTGTTTTCTATTGTTTTCAAATTTCCACTGATTTCCAGAATGCTTCATTTAGCTGTCAAGAACAGAAATCATTTAACCCATTTAGGCCGGGAAAGCATTACCGCATTTCTACCATTCAAGCCGGGGGCGCTGTTGCGTAATTCTACCATTGACGCCGGGAGAGCATATAAGTCAAGCAAGAAGAAAGAAGTTTTTTTCAAGCAAACATGGAGGAGTTTGACAGAGAAGAGATGTCGGAAGGCAGTGATTTTGAGGAGTGTGTCGGCTTTGATGACGGTATAGATGAAAATGATGACTTTGAACGCGCTGAACCAATCGAACTACCACCGCAATGCACGGAGTGTTTTCAACCGCACACCTGGAGTGAAAGTTGATTTGCCTGCAGACACCACACCGCTGCAGGCATTTGAGCATATTTTTAATGAAGAACTTTGGATGCATCTTGTTACCGAGACGAATAGGTACAGTGACCAAACAAACCAAACTCCAACAAGAGCAAAGATGGCAAAGTGGTCACCCGTGACTGTGACGGAGATGAAGACATTTATTGGGCTGTGTATGGGCATAGGACTTCTTGTGTTGCCAGTAGGCTACGAAGAGATTATTGGCGACAGAGTAAACCTCTCTTCAGGACGCAGTTCCCCCAAAATATGTCCCGGGACAGATTTGTGGCCATCTGGAGGTAAGTTGTATGCAATTTATAACACAGACATATGCATTATTATGCATAATAATACTGTTAATAAGTAATCATCAGATAGTTATTTATGTAATGTTTGTTCTTTATTTTAAAAACGTTTTATATTGCACATTCTCAATGAAGACATGATCACATATGGAAAAAATAAAGGTTGAATTTTTTTTTTTTTTATTACTGCTTTTCACTTTTTTTTTTTGGAAGAATTTCAAAGATAAAATATATTTTGAGTTCTATCTGCTACAGAAGCTGAGATATAAATAATTTACTAGGCGTTGACACAGTTACTGAATTTACAGAAAAACTTCAGGTTTTAGGGGTATTTTTTAAAATCGGCCATAGGTTTTTAAGGTGTTTTTTCCAGGCGTTTTAGGCCTAAATGGGTTAAACAGTAAACTGATAACAGCACATTTTGTTAGAGTGAGATCAGCTGGTGCAAACAGAGTGCTCTGAGTAAAGGAATTTATTCTATTGCCAAGTGTTTACACGTAAAAATCACCAACTTCTCAAAAGACAAATAAGACATATATCTGTAATCATTCTGACATTTCAGAATTGAATCAGGTATGCAATATGTGCAAGTACAACAAAACCTCTTTTTAAGGACGTAATGAAAATGCATTTTTTACAATAAAAACCTAAAAAAGATTGACTCTGCAAGCTTCAAAAATCTTATGTATAGCCCAGGTTTGATACATTGAAGTATTTAACATTTCAATAAAACTATTATGAAATATTGTCCAAACCAGTGCTCCTTAGCTTTGCACACTACAAAGTTTTAAGTCAAATGCTAATGGCAGCATTTTCCTGTCTAATAGTTAGCCAGTCATTGCATGTTCAAGTTGCCATTTTTTATCTATTGTAGTGATTCTAAATTTTAAATCACCTCAACAATTTAAAAGGGACAGAGAGGTGGTTGTGGTGGGCCACCTTGACGTCTTCATTAGTCAACTCAAAAAAACCTCCTAAAATAAAATGCAACCCACATACAGCAGGATGTAAAAGGCATCATTTGAATTATTATGATAACAGTCACTGGACAAAAACTACTATCAAAAGAGCTAATGTGACCTAATAGCACATTTTCTTCTAGTACTTTTCACTTTAAAAACCACAAGGGCCACTTATTTCACACTTCCTGGATTTATTTTTGGTTTAATGTTCATTCAGAGAACCATATATTCTAACATTGCAAACAAATATGTCCATCCCTCGTTGCATGAACAAATTTTGCTGTTAGCTGATATACAGCTAATTTTTAAGTGAGAAAAATCCCTTTTTTTGTGTTAAACAACAAGTACTTAAATTTTTGACAGGGCTTTTTGCTCTGAAGTAGTTGCAGGGATGGCATATGTTACGACAGCTGGGAAAGGATTAACTGAGGACACAGCAAAATGTCTGAGAATGTATGATACAAATTCCATGACTTTGTCAGCCTGAAGTGCACAAGTCTGGACATATTTGGACAGGCTATTTTAAATTTACCTGTCAGACTTACTATTATATATGACAAGAACTCTAAGATTTGTATTCTGTCTTTTCTGTTTTGAAATTGGAAAATATCTGTGGATCAGGCGTTATATGCTTCAAAGAGTTTTCCACTTATAATGTGTGGAGAGAATCAAAATCCCCAAAAGGGATATATAAGAAAGTAAATATAAGCATTAAAGCATTAAAATGTAAAATATTCCAACCAAATACTGCAGCATTGCCACGTACTCATGCAGTATGCATGCACAAGAGAATAAACAGCATGCAGTGCAATGCGTAAAATGTACTGCCGGCTGAGTTCAAATGCAAAATAAGAGTTTTTGAACTGTAATTCCCACCGAACACATCAGGGAGTGTAACTTCAATGAGACCAACCGCAAAGGCAGTCGCCTGCAAGAGCACAGCTGACAAACACGGGTAAACATGGAGAAGAAGACTAGGCAGGTGTCAGAAACGAACGCTGCACACACACCTGATGCTAGTCATGCTTCCTGTCTCAGAGCCGAGTTTGCATCTCTCCAGCTGACTGGCAACAATCTGTCGTTCGGCTTCCAGCTCCCTGGTCAGACGTTCAAACTGCAGCTCCTGGAGAGAGGGAAAGAGAGCGTGTCAAAACAGTCGGCCTATTCATTTACTGCCACATTTACGGCTATCCTAAACCTAATCAGTTTGAACCCGTTGTCTGTGACGGGTTTTTAATTGTTGTGAAAGTGATGGTGGCAGTCCGTGGCAGTAAGAGGAGCCAAGCAGTGGTAGGATGTGTATTACACTGCCAAAATACAAATCATTCTGTTTAGGTTAACTTTGTAGGAAGGAACCCCACGTTTTTTTTTTTTTTTTTCACTTAATTAAAAGTGTGACGAATAACCACTAATTATCTCATGCATACAAACAAACCAACATCCAATTACAGTGTTTGCACCTGCAGCTAAAGATCCTTATTACTGATTATACATAAATGATTTTATCTATTTGGGACAAATGAATAAATAAATAGAAGCCCCAAAAAAGAGGCAAAAAGCAACAAAATCTCATTGTCTTATGGATATTTCAAATTGAGCAGAAAACAAATCTGATTTCATTCTGGCACACTGCTTTCAGAGGGACATTTTTTGGCAATTTTCTGGTCGGTTTACCATTAAAATACGGTATAATTACTGAAAGACTATGGGTAAATGGTGATGAACTGTTGTGGAAAGCTGATAAAAAAAACATAATTACAAAAAAGATCTAATTACAAACAATGCATTATGTTGACGGTTTCAGTGATTTTCTATATTATCTCATGAAAAATTAAACGTAAATGAAAAAATAACAACTTTGAAATGACACAGCGAGTACAGATATCTCGAATCCAACCACACTACTCACAAAGCTTAAATTACACAATAATAAAATAATAAAACCTTGCTTTAAAAATATAAAACAAAGCCTAGATGGGATCTTGCATGTTTGGTTTCAACCTAATCTGTCAAAGTAAACACATTATCCAACTATGTGAATCAAGGAGGGGAGATGGGTTTGCTTGCTGCATGACTCAAATATGAGGGGAGTAAAAAATGATAAGCAGGCAAAAATCCAATAGATCTGATAAACTGTGTGAATTTTGTTAGATTCTTAAGGGAGTGGCAGTCTAGTGGTTATGGCATAGAGCTGAGGATCTGAGTTCGAGCCCCACTTCCACAGACTGCCACTCTGGGTCTCTGAGAAGGACCCTTACAGTACAAGACCCCACACTCTTCCCTGGGCGCCCCACGATGGCAGCACACTGCTCCCCAAGGGGATTGGTTCAATCTAGGGATGCACGATATTGGGATTTCCGATATGCCGATATTTTAAAACTCATGTACTGTAGCCGATAACCGATATAGATACCGATGTTAAAGCTGGACAAAAATAAGTAGTCATTGAAAATAGCAGTTTTGTTATCCATTTCTGACACATATAATATACTCAAATATATTTTCATATGCTGATATCAAGTTGATTTTTAAAAACGCGGTATCGATATATTTTACTTTCAAAATCTAATGAAATTTCATTGTTCTGTTACAAACTCTCGTCATATTTTGCAAATTCTTGTGAGATTTTGTTAGTAAAATAGATCGATACCGCGTCAATATATCAACCTATAATAATATGGCAAAATTTCGTGAATTTTCGGGGGATTTCGTTGCATAGCGATGACATATAGCAATATTTCATTAGTAAAAGAGATTGATATGGTGTTTTTTAAATGGCAATATATCAGCATATGAAGATATTGTGATATTTTAATGTATAAATATTGTTTTCCTTTGTCTTTAGAAGTTTTTAAGTCTGTATAAAAATAAGTTTTTGAGGAAGAAGAAGAAGTAGTATTTTAAAATTTTTTTTTTTTAGACTTTAGAAACTCAGAAGCTGATCAAATATCGGGTTAAATATCGGTGGGGTGGCCGATGTCCGATATTCAGTTTTAAGGCCGATACCGATAGGGGGCCGATTATATCGTGCATCCCTAGTTCAATCAATAGGTAAATTTCTCCAATGTAAGATCAATAAAATCCAATTATTATTATCAAATGGGTAAGATACGTTGTACTGCATATCAGTTAAAAATGTTCACATATTATAAACCATAAACCAATGCATTTCACAAACACTTTTGAAGTGGGAGTTTAAAAAATCTGGAGTTGTGACTTTGAACTTACACAAAACAAAAAAAGAAACCCATTGGTCTAATACCTTTAAGCAAAATACAGTTGATTATCCTCAGAAGTACATACATGAGGTGAGTTCACAACAGGTTTACGATATAAGATAATATCCAAAGCTTTCAACATTTCAATGAAAACTGTTGCATGAGGACTTTGGTAATTCGCTAAGAGCAACTACGGCTTTAGTAGAGGAATCTTTTGATGGGAAAAGCAATTAATTGTACACTCCACAAATCTGACCTTTAGGAATACAAAAAACAAGCTACTGTGATAAGAAAACCATCCGAAATTCTACAGGGAAACAGCTAAGGCTAAACCTCAACTTCCATTAATGTGCATCATCCTGAAAACACATCCTGTATGTTCAATGCTTAGTCAAAGTAAGGCAGGACTCAGGAGAGGCTTAGATATAAGAATTGAATTGACCTCAGCCCAAGAAATAAGAAACATTAGATCTAATTGCAATCCTCACCCAATGCATGTAATTTCTGACTAGATCTGCTAATAGGCTGGTGTGATGGAGCCTAAACCCTGATGGTGCTTCAGGCGAACTTAAGGGTCTCCTCTATGTGAAACACTTCTATTCTAAAAGGCTCATTAAGGCCAGAACTTTGCAGATCAATTTGCAAGTTTCTTAGTAACAATGTCCAATATTCTCCTTGTTATCTGTGACTGTGTATACGTGTAGATTTGCACATTCCAGCCGCAGTATCTCATTGAAATAGACACATCCATGAGTCTGTACAGCAGATTAAAATGATACAACTGCTGCCACTTCAGGTGAATATTAAAAATCTTTTAAGGAAGGATTTACAAAGAAACGCTACCTAGTGATGAGTTTTGGACAACCACATCTGGTCTCCAGTTAGGCACTTTAGTAAACCATGTTTTTGCAACAGTGGAAATGCTTTGTTTGTATTTAATTCTTTTAAATTTGAGGTTGCTCAATAACACATTGGTTGCATTTGATGTAAGAAATGAGGAATTCGGGTACATTTTGCAGTTGAGAAACACTTAAAAGACGCACGGTTGCATATCACATCACAAAAGATCTGTAACCTTGGTGAAAATATACCCAGTTGGTCGTAGCAGAGGTTTCTTTACTTGCATCTAAAACAGCTCAACATGAGAGAAAAAAAAAACCCAGCATGCTTTCCTCTGTGAGATCCAACTTTTTTATGCCTCCAAATCAGTCTTAACTCCCTATTCAACTAAGGAAACATTATCTCTCTCTTTTATTTGATAGTGTGCTTGTTTTGATGAGAGGAAATGCAAACTAGCTTGATGCCAACTTGTGCAAATTCAAATTGCGAGCCTTCTTAAAAAGGCACAATGCAAGCGGTCTCTCCCTCCTTTTTTTCCTCCGTCCCCCTCAGATCTTTGCTTCCTTGGGCTCAGAGCTGATGAACAGACACCTGTTACTGAAGAAGGAGAGGGCGGACCATTATGGAATCTCATGTTCTTAGAAACTGCAAATCAAAAAAGGTAAAAAAACAGGCCAAATCTACAGACTGGTAATTAAGATGTAAGGACACATACCTTCACATGGACCATAATGTGAATAAACACGGGAATTCTAAAAGGATCCTGCTTTTCCGTGCTCCCATCTGGATAAAATAAAAAAGCAGCAGCAGAGCTTCTTCTCTCTGTTCCAAACCCTCATCTATCCAGTGTCAGGACCCAGCAAGTGATAGAGACAGAAAGAAAGACAGAGACTGAGAGACCACAAGTGTCACTTGAGCTGACTGCAACTCAGCCCCCCACCTCCTGGTCTCTATGTCTGTGTCTCTTTCTCTCTACTTGCTCAGGGGCCATGAAGCCCACAGACACACACATGCATACAAAAACACACACACACACTCACTGTTCAGTGAGCCACAAAGGTCCCCATGGCAACACAGCATTTAGAAGCCCCGTGGCATTATTTATGCAACGTTGCATCACAATAGGGCCCTCCCACCGGCCGGCCCTGCCAAAAGAGCCCGCCGCTCAGGAATCACTCCCAGCCTCTCACACTAGCTCCTTCTCCCTATTTTCCTCTCTGACCAGACCATCTGCACACGCCTTCCCACCACCACCATCACCCTCCGTCCTTCCTTCCTCCGCCTTCTCAGTATCCACCATTGCTGGAAGGAAGGGAGGGAATTTCGAGGAGAGGAGGGAGCAGCAAACGGTGAGGAAAGATGTGTCGAACAGGATGAACGGAGGCCTACACTCAAAACAGCGGACTCATGCCGACATAGAAACATGCTGACACACACACACATGTTTAAACACCCACTCATATAAACTGTGCTCTGCAAAAGGAAAATTCTATGAGTTGAAATGCACTGGAGGACTGCAAAGGTTAAAAACTGTATATTAGGCTGAAGCAAGTTACATAAAAAGAACATCCACACAGGGAGATAAAATTCTAAAAGTGGTCTTTAAAACAATGATTAATTATATATTTTTTCTATTTTGGTTTATTTGGAAAGGATGGATGGATGGATGGATGGATGGATGGATGGATGGATGGATGGATGGATGGATGGATGGATGGATGGATGGATGGATGGATGGATGGATGGATGGATGGATGGATGGAATCTGACACCTGTTTATATAATAATTCTGTGAAATTGATGGGAATATAAAGTGTTTATTTTCACTGCTGGAATATTCATTTCAATGGACGGTGTCTACTGTATTTTGGAACAATGGTGCCTCCTTGTAAAGTATTTATAGATATAGTAGAAACTGAAACATTAAAAGCACCATAACGACTAGTAAAGCTTGCTAGATTTTTCTATTTCAAAACACAACTGGCCTACCTTGGAACATAGGCTTATAGGACATAGGAGACCAACATTATTCTAGAATGGACATATTATACAAATTTGCCTTCAA